CCGCGCTAAACACCCATAATGAGCATTTATCTCCGTGTCCAGGTACGGGAATATTAACCCGTTTCCGTTTCGATTGCCTAGATGGATTTGAACTCCTGTTCTCAGTAATTCGCAACGGCATTAGCAGATATCTTAGGATCGACCGACCCACAACATTCAACTGCTGTTCAGCACTGTATTTAAAAGCCAGTACGAAATGATCGGTAGCAATATACAAAAAATTTAGGTGAAAATCGAGCTCGTCTGTTGTTTAGCAACAAACTTCTGCCAGCTGCCATGACTGTTTATAGCCGGCGCATTTACATTGCAAATGCAAAGAATAACACAATCGAGCAGTACAGTGGTGGTTCATTACAAGTTTTACATGATGGTGTTCCTTACGTAACGAATTTGGCGGTCGCGCATGCGCATTTAAACAAAGGTGAGAGCAACTTCGGTAGAATCTTAAATTGTAAATGAGAAATGTGAATTTTGATGCGGACATGAAAAAAATATTTCCCTAAAAACATTCCTTTTTTTTATAACTTTTCATTTGTTTATAAGAGAAGGAATCCTCCATTACATCTCATTTTTTGATTTTTCGTACTATATTGTGGCAGAATTGGAACAAATTTGATGCGTGTGAAGTTCAGAAATAATAAGGGCAAGAATTGGAAGGAAATGTTTCTTTTTTCTCCTAAAATCAAGATAGTTTCGTATGGCTTCCTTTGGTTTTAAACAATACACAGTAAGGGTACAGCACTGAGACATCTACTTATGCCTGAACTCTTTGTGAGGGGGCATTTTTCCCCGGGTGGTGAGAGGCGGGAGGGGAGAAGGGGAGTCATGTCATTTGAGATAGCAATACATGTCATTGCAGGTTGGAACGGTTGTGTGCCAGGGAATGGTGGTTGTAGCGGTATCTGCGTACCACTGGGCTATGGCATGCTGCCTAACGCTACCATCCGATGCTTCTGTGACGATCATTTTACGCTTGATCACTCCACTAAAATTTGCTCACGTTAGTTGCCTACTCTGAAATATTGTTCTCAATATTTAATGACACCAGAGTACAGCCGTTGCTCCATGACATTCTTTCTGATTTTGCGAATTATTTCGAAAATTTTTAGGAATTTATTTCAGCGCCCAAGCATTTTATGCTGCTTGCTGTCCGAGGCCGTTTCATTCGTTTCACTTTCAAACAGGTCGCAAACAACATATTATGGAATGAAGTTCGCTTTTTTTGTCTTTATCTCAATTTATTTAAAAAAAAAAAAAAATTTCGAAATCCGAAAGCTGCTTCCTGACTTTTCTTTCCAGGATCCCTATTCAATGTTATCAGTGCAGAGCGTTGGTGCACCAGTTTCAGTGGGCGTTGATTTGTTTTCGCCGAATCGTGCCATTTACTGGATTGATTCGTACGACGATAAAGTTATCAAGCGATCGTCTGATTTGTCACCTACCGTCAGTATTTTGTTTTCTTTGTTTTCAACGTTATCGGATTTTAGACAGGCTGCTGGGTTTTCAAAATCTCTGAATTATCGGTATGAGCACCCGTGATGTGAATGGAGCAAAAATCAAAGCTTCGCTTTATTTGTTTCCTGCAAGAGGCTGAGGCGCCTGGACTTAGCTGAAGCTGACTGTAGCATATTTTGATGCCAGGAGCTTAGGAAGCGAAGGCACGGGGCGAACAAAGTAAGAATGAATATGGAAGTAATGAGTTAAGACGTTTCAGTCCATTAACTCATATACGTCTTAGCTCAACATCACGTGAGTGGACCTTGTCAGTATGACGATCGTGATGTTAAGTCCGTTTCGTTCTTTTTCTGCAAGCTTCAAGTGTCAACAGTAACCATTCGTTCCCTTTTTCAAAGGTTGCTTAAAAAAAAAAAATGCCACATTTGACTCTTTGGCTTGCACTCGAACCAGCGTACTAGGCGAATTGCCGACGGGTTGATCAGCCGGCTGGGTTTCGAACCTTCGATCTTCCAGCAAAACAACTCCACTTGCCACTGCGCCATGAGCGCCGGCATATGTGAATATGAATATCTGTATTGTACACGTACTTTTAGACGCAGACAATCTTTTTATCACGACGCTCGAACTGCGCTGCACTGTTCCATTTGGCAGTAGATGAAGTTGGCCGACAGCTGTTCGTTTCATGTGCGGAATATGGCTTAAATCATGCATCGTCCATTCATGTCTGGCGTATAAAGGTGAAGCTCTCCATTCATTCGTTTTCTGGATTCACTTGATTTTCGCTTTATTGTTAACTGCTCAGTAAAACTGCGTGTTTCCAGAATAATGATCATTTGGAATATATTGGAGTCGTTGTTTCCGGACGGGAACGCTCACCTGTAACGGATCGGCCTCCTCTACCCCGACAAATAGCTCTTTTTTCGAGGCTAAAGTAAATCGTCTTCATATAATTTTGCCCTTCTAAATGTACTTTTTCTAGCTTGTATTTTTTAGAGGTTTTTTTGAAATGTCGTACGCATAAATTTTCAGAAATTTCTTCATAATACACTTCCGATTGATTATTTTTTAGCCTTCTATTTTACGTGGATGATAGTGGCCCGAGCCCTGTGATTATTCGCTGCTCCCTGGATGGTCGCCAGTGCATACAGTGGGAAGCGCCTAATCTAACGCATAATGTGAAGCTACACGCTTATCAACTCAATGATCGTTTATACTACACAGCAGCTAATGGTTTGTATTTATTGATTTAAAAAAATAAAACTACTTAAAATAATCACTGAGAAAAGGAGGAGGAGGGGAGGGGGGGGGGGGGGGG